CGTAGCGGGAGATGGTGGTCTTAAATGTATTGAACAAAACGATGAAGTTGTTATTCAGTCTCTTGGTAGAAGAGGTAAATCAGTAGGAGATAGGCCTGGTATTAAGTATGAAATCATCAAAGTTGCTGGTGCTTCATTAGATGGAATCTTAAGAGGAAAAGTTGAGAAACCACAAAAATAAAATAAATGTTTATTTAAAATTATTCTTTTGATCTCTCAAGTTTTGTAATATGACAGGATCAGATAAAGTTTTAGGCAATAAAAATGGATTTAAGCGTAATTCATCTTTAAATGTCAAAAAACTATTTTCTAATATTAACTTTGTGTCAATTTCACTGTAATTACATTGTGTTTTTGTAAACTCAAAATTGGATTTTGTATATTCATGGCCATATAACATAATTGTGTCATCATCAACATGTTTTTTAAGTAAGTTGACACTCGAAATAAAATCAACTGCTTTACCTTCAAAGAACTTACCACAGCCAACTTTAAAAATAAAATCACCTGTTACTAAAAATTTTTCACCATTTAAATTAGTTAAATAGTAACTTATAGAATCAAGTGTATGACAAGGTGTTTTAATTGCTAAAACCGTTAATAAGTGTTGATTGTTGTATTCAATTATAATTTTAGAAAGATTATCTATCGAATTGTTATGGTTAATAAAAACGGTTTCAGGTGAAAGTTTTTTTAGTGGTTCATTTCCACCAGAATGATCATAATGATGATGAGTGATAAAACATTTAATTAAAGTTCTTTTTTTCGTATTACATTCTAATTTGTTAAAAAAATTCCTTTGATATACTTTACCATTTTCCAATTTAAAACTTAAAGCTTTATAAACAGCTAAATAATCACATGGATCAAATACAATGGCTATCTTATCAGTATAAAACAAATACATATAATTATCACTGTTTGCAACAATGCACAAAATTCCATTTCTTTAATAAAAATTTTTATCGTATTTTATGAATCAATAACAAGAACAAGTCATAACAGAGAGAGAAGAACAAAGAGAGTATATTTGTTTACATTGCTCAGCAACAACTAGACTTTCGAATAAAGATGCAATTAAGTGTAAAGAATGTGGCAAAAACATTCTATTAAAACTAAGAAACCCAAATAAAGAAGTGCAAATACTCGCTATTTAATAAATTTTAAATAAGCTTAATTTATTGATAAGAAGTTTTGTTAGTTGGTTTATAACTACCAGTAATGATAGCGTGGTTTTTTTCAAAGGGTTCTATAGTTACAAGTTCTTTGGGTTTGAAATCATGTTTTCTCAACCAGTTGACTTCGTTTGTAAAAACCTTCTCTGCTGGTACTGATGAATCCACTGAAGAAGCTTTTATACTTATTAAAATTTTTCCACCATCTTTTAGAAAATATCTTGCATTATCCATAACTATTTTTGTTTGATCTGGTTGTGATACATCACTAAATATTACATCAACCATTGGAACAATCATTCTATAGTCTTGTGGTCTTCTGGCATCCGCTATTATTGGCACGATATTT